CTATATATGCTCTTTATTATTTATGTTTTGTCTTATAGTATTAAACCATCTCTAAAAAAGATTTTTTTTTTTTAATGTATACACTGTATATTATTTACCTTGTGAATATTTTGAGAAAACATTTTTTTTATAACATAAATGAAGACTTTGTAACTCAAAAGTATAATTTTTATATTTCTAAATACTTTCAAATTTTTCATCTTATTGTTAGAACTAATTGCTAAATGAATATTACGTTTATTTTTCTTAGAATACAAACTTTGTTTTAAACAAAACTCCATTTGTGAAAAGAGGGATTAAAAGAGAAATACATTTTATTCTCTTTGCAAAAGTTATACGTGATGTAGTAATTTAATAATCTCACGAAACATCCTGATTGCCACAACTTACTTCGTGAAAACGAGTTAATGGCATTATACGAGAACGATTTGCAGACTGAACCGGGCATGTTCCTTACGTATGACTAACGATTGCGTATTAGAAGTTTGTCGGATATAAATACGTTGGTATTTCGGTTGGTATGCGAATCCTTTATGTCAGCATCGTTAATATTTTCCTCTTTTTTTTTTTCGTGAAACTGGTTTTTTCGCTTTTATCCGCGAGTCCTTCTCTCGGGAAGTTGCATCGCGTAAATACGTGTAAATAATTTATCGGTACTGAAGAGAGAGAGATAGCGGAACACCAGTGTCATAATTTATCTGGCGCGCGAAAACCACGAGATAATTAATGTCTTATTCCTGCTTAACCTTTTCGGTCTCGTATCAGCCTGTTTCGATTGTTTCGTAGAGAAACGTTCACACATCCACAGTTTAATATTGTTGAGAAAGAGTTTTACACATATAATAAAAATTATAATATTTATGCACTGAATATTGTGAATTTGAAAAGATTAATAAAATAATAATAATTTGATAATAAAATGAAATATTAATGAAAGTTAATAAAATCTGAAAATTAATAAAATTAAAAATTTGTAATAAAACATATTTATATCAAGTGAGAAATATATTAAAAAGTAAAAGATTTAAGCACACGAACACTGTGTGTCTCTTGTTTCTGTATACATCTCGTAATCAGCGGATGACAGTGAGAAAGTGAGTTCCTTCATCGTGCTCTTGAACTTGAAAGATTCGTAATGACAGGTTGGCACAGGCTGGCCGCTTGCCCGAGAAAGCGAGCACCGAGAGAATGCGCGACGGTCCCGCTTTCCTTCTCGCGCGCTTTTGATACGGTAGACTCCTTACGAACAACTTTGTCACGCTCAGTGAATTCATACAAGTAGACCAGATCGAAAATTACAGATTCGAAGCTGTCGCGCCTGTGTGTCTCAATTAATTGATACATACATCTCAATGTCTTAATTCTATATCACTTATGTTACGGCAATTATCGCTTAACAAAACATTTTTATTTATTTTTTGCTTTTTGATTCTTTCTAATATAGTCATAAAATTTTCAATATATTAGGTGTATAACTTTGCTTCCGCCGTTTTTTTTCCGAAATTCGAGGCTTTATTGTAAAAACCTGGTTATACATTTACGATTCAAAGTATTGTCCATCGCTGGCCACTACTTTCTCCCATCTTTCGGGTAGCGTACGAATCCCGCGTCGAAAAAACTGGTCATCTTTTGAGGCTATCCACGAATCGATCCAATTTTTTATTTCTTCATAAGACCGGAAGTGCTGGTCAGCCAGGCCGTGCATTGATCGAAACAAGTGATAGTCAGAGGGAGCAACGTCTGGAGAATACGGCAGGTGGGGTAGGACTTCCCATTTCAACGTTTCCAAGTATGTCTTGACCAACATGGGGTCGAGCATTGTCATGCTGCAAAATCACTTTATCGTGTCTCTCGTTGTATTGCGGCCGTAGTCTCGTTGTATTGTCTTTCAATGCTCGGCTCAAACGCATCAATTGCGTTCGATACCGATCGCCTGTGATTGTTTCAGTCGGTTTTAACAGTTCATAATACACTACGCCGAGCTGGTCCCACCAAATACAGAGCATGACCTTGGAGGTCAAAATCACCGTTCTTGAAGCGTTGAAACCACTCACGACACGTTCTTTCACTAATAGCGGCCTCACCATAAGTATTTGAGAGCATTCGATGAGCCTCAGCCGCAGATTTCTTCATATTGAAGCAAAAAATTAAAACCTCCCGCAAATGACGAGAACGTGGCTCGTAAACTGACATTTTCAATCGAGAATAACTTTATGATGCAGACACAAATCGATTAATGTTTCTATGGGGTTATGTTGACAGATGCCCAAGTTTATTGTATGACGTCTATGATCTATTTATTTCGACCACCACTTACCGCTAAAGCCATCTATAGGAAAACGGTGGAAGCAAAGTTGTACACCTAATAATTTCAAATTTATTTTAAAGATTGGTAAAATAATATTTGATGCTTCTTGTGAAGAAAAAATTATTTTTCATTTGATTATTACAACATGTTCTGTTATGAATTTAAAATAGATCTTTGACGAAAAATTAATACATTCTTTACCCTCACTGTGTATACGGGGGTCATTTTTGTCCAGGCAATTTTTAAATTCATGAATATCTTAAAAACAAGAGTAATACAAGCGTTGTTCTGCACCTAAAAAAGCTCGTGACGGAAAATGCTCGTGAAAATCCGACTTGCGTTATTCTCTCGTTGAGTAACAAACAATCAAAAACGCGTACGATAAGATAGATCCCCCCCATTTATACTCAACGCATATTTGTCATAAAAATAAGAAAAGAATTTGTCTCGTATTTCTTATTTTATTATTTTTATAAATAAAATACATACATATAACGAAAAAGTGTTTATTCAGTGTTAGAATAAAGATAAATTGCCCTGCAAAACAGGTGTTACGATTTCTTCGTTCTCTTACATTTATATATGTATTTTTTTATTTATGAAAGTGTATGAGATTATAGATTTTGAATAAAAAATGAATTTTTTTAAGTTTAATATTATTTTTTCACGAACGCTTATTTTTAGAGGTTTCAAAATTGTAAGATTTCATATCCCAAACTTAAGCATTTTAATAAAAAAAAATGTGTTGGCATATTTTTTTATTAAAACATATACCTTCAATTTCCATTTTTCCATTTTTAATGATGGGATTTTACTGATTTGCTCAAAAGTTGCAAATTTTTGAAAGTACACACTATTATACTCGCATGTTGATATATATTTACAAAAATAAAATATTTAAATTTGTGAAATTATGTATAAATCTTTCATTTGGAATAGCTAAAGAAACTACATGAATTTTTTATATAATATTTTTGAACCATTTAATCCATTAAAAAAACACGCTGGACATTAACGATATACACTTTATTGGTACTAAAAAAAAAACGGATACATAGTGAGAGTTAATTATACTTTGCTGTTTTATTAATATCGAGATAAATTATTAATATTGCTGCAAAAAATGAACAATTTATTATTTGCAGCAACTTTTCTATTTGGTATATGACTTTCATGATTATCTTACAACTTTTCTTCAACGAGTCGTACAAGAGATGGACAGGCAACACGCAATTAATTATAAGCTCGCTTAATTAAATAGAGACCTCCTAAGGCGGCTCAGCAAGTATTATCTTGTTAAGTTTGAAATTGTAAAATTTTTAATTTTACAATAAGAAAACTTAATTTTTTCAATGACATATATAATGATATATTTTAGAAAATTACATATTTTGTATACAAAAAAATATTCTTGAAAAATACACTTGCTAATTAATACATTTTAAAGTAACAAAGAAAAATTATTAAAATTTTTAAAAAATATATCTACACACATGATATTTTACATTTAATTTTTTAAAGATAATTTCTGTGTGTGATTTAAGTAGCTTTTAATAATTCTGAATAAGTATAAAAATTGATGTTATGGAACAAAAGTTAGTTATTAATCTCACATTTATTTATGCTTTATAATGCTTCATACTTTATAGCTCATATTAAACGTGTCATGTCAACAGCAGTTTAAAATCGTAGATTAAAATCGATCAATTTTAGATTCCTGTTCCGTCTTCTTGCTTTCAGTCGGCAAGTAATTAGAAGCTGAGCCTAATTATGATGGTAGAACGCATGACTTATGGAAAAAATCGGCAGTGCGCGTCGGTGGGAGTTATTATGATGGTTATTAGTCTGGCGTGGGGCTAATTTATGAAAGCCATTAAAAACGAACGCCTGATTAAAACTCACACTGATATTTTATGTTCCGCCTGGAAAGAATTATCGTATACATACTTTATACTTTATACAAACGTATAAAATATCCTTTTGGTCTTCGAAAAAAGTCTAGTAAATTCTGAATAGTGGAACGCGGATTAGTGTAAAGGATGAACGCGGTGCGAGAAACTAATTTAATCAGCGATAATTATGTTTCTCTTTTCTTGTGTCTTTCCTTTCTGAGAGAAATCTTTTGTACAGTAGTATCTTACCTTTGTTGCGTCCAAATGTTATATATTATATAATGATATATTTTTTAATAAATTCAAGGTTAAATTTTCTATATGAAATATTTTCTTGTATTAATTATGATGGATTTGGACTATAATTTTCGTTAAATTTTATTGAATCTTTTATCAAAGAAGAAAAAAATTGAATTTAATTTTGATTCGAAAAATCTATTGTTAAGATTTTATGCGAAGATGTAGGATACTTTGTATATCTCACATCATATGACGAAGGAAGGAACATCACATTTCCAACACGTGAAATATTCAACCGATTCTCCCCAGATGAACGAATGCGAGTTACCGTGAAATGAAAAGATGAGACTCGCAGTGCGAGAAGGTGTGTGAGGACGCGGGGTTTCACGACGAAGGGACGAAGAATCTGTGGAAGAATTGATGCTGCACGAGAGATATATCTCCGTGAGAAAAGTTCGGCGTTTTACCAAGCGCATGTATTGCCTGTCTTATTAAGCGGACAGCGCGAGCGGCGAGGAGGACTTTGCGGTTTTCGCGCGAGAAAGAGTATTCAACCGAAAATGACGTCTCGATGCCGCGCAGGCGGTGGCGAGAATCTTTCCGAGGAATTGGGGACCGAGGATGAGGGGACTAACGGGAACAATTTTGAGCCCCTGAGCGATTCCTGCGGCGAGAGCGATATGGAGGGTCTCGATCTCTCCCTCTTCGAGCCGCAGGTCGACACCGCTTCCTGGTGCGACAGCCGCATCCATGCTGGAACTCTTCATATTTTGGTCCATTACTGTGGTAAGCTGAGCCTGCATGATATATATATATATATATATAACATATTACACATACACACACACACACACACACACACAAAAGTGTGACTAACGTAAGATTTTTTAATGGCTTGTGATTTATTTAATTTGTAACTTCAACTTCTTTTTTTTATATTAAATTTATGGAAGTTTTATTGTTAAAAGTTAGCAATCGATGATAATTATATTTTATTGTATGTGAAAGTTTTTATCAAATAATTACTAGTTTTGTTAATTAAAAAACAGTTCTTACAATATGAGATATCAGGATTTTCTTAAAGATGATCTTATAACAAGAAATCAAAGAAAGAAACAAAAAAAGGCTTTCTATAATAAACTTTTACTACACAAAAATAGGAATATGGCAAATTTCAATCTTTAATTATAATTTAATACATATTAAATATATATTAAAGATATCATTTTAATGACCTTGTCATTTCAAAACACAATAATTCTAAGATTAGAAATCAATTACGATTAACATATCAAACGTATATATT